CAAATTTCAACCGTTTAAGAATTATGCACTTGAATACCTATCATTCAAGTTTCAAAGATGTTTTGAAATTTTTTTGCGTGATCAAAGTCAATTTGCAAAAACTGATAATTCCTCATTGGTTTTATTGAAAGACTTATTTAAGACGAAAATGTTAGGTGAATAAAGCGATCAGCAACATAAACTAAAATTTGAACTTTAAAATTGGAAATTCTAATCGACGCGATTTATGCAACTCTTGACTATATAGAGATCGAGGGCGCTAGACTTTATCGAATGAAAATATTTTCAAATAGATGGTTTCTATGAAACTTTCAAATAATAAATGATGAAATATTTAAATAAAGGATTATAGAAATAAAAAATACGTAAATTTGTAATTGTAAAGAAGCGTTATTGTATTAAAATCGGTAAATTCAATGTTTAAAAAGTCGTTCTATAAGATAAAATGAAACTTTTAACATTAAAAATATCAGAAATTATAAAATTTAGGACAAGAAAATTTGAAAGTATTTTATTATTTAAAAGACTTTCGAACAGAATTGTATTTGACTCGAAATTTTCTGATGATTAATAAATACAATTTAGTCGATTAGAGAAGGGCAAGTATCGAAAATACAATGAATGATTTTATCTCCGAAAATATAAGACATTAAAATTCTATAATTTATAATTTTGACAAATTATCAAATTTGCAGAGTGATCTCGAATGAATATTGTCCATAGTTTTGTGAAATTTCAATATTGTATTTATTTATACAGTTTTAATATCTAATTTGGTATTTTAGCTTGGCTTATAAGTTTCTAAATATTTAAGTATTATTTTTTAGTCAATAACACCAACAGATTATTTTCTCTAACTATTTTAAAGAAAAAAAAATATTGCCTCATATAAACGTCATATAGCTTTATTAATTCGGCTGCATAAAACATATTTCCATTTTTTTGGTAATAACCTTATAATTGTATCAACTATATTATATACATTGATTATTCAGTATAATTCTGTATTATTATTTTTATGTTACACGAACGTGTTAATATTAGTGACATTGAATACGGCTCAATTATAGTAATATTCACGCCAATGACCGACCAGGGGGAGATATCGTCATATCCCGGATAAGCATATAGGAAACCATCGAGTAATATGCCTCACTTGGCTTATTATATATTATTTTGCTTGTATTAACGGAAATTGCTATGCTGGACAATAAAGTAACTTTGTTTGTTTTGTATTATTGATTATCTGTAAGAGAAAAGGGTCTATTAACTACTTTTATATTTTCTATAAAATTTCCGTTTCATATTTGCATCATAAAAAAAAATATTTATTTTTGCAAACCTGAATAATTATTATAACAAATAAAATCGAATTATCGTTAAAAATAGAAAAAAATAATTTTGGTGTGAAATTTCATTTCGATAAATATTTACCAATTTTTTAATAAAATAAATAATGATAAAACGAGTAAACATAATTATTCAAATTTCAACTCTCATAATGACCATTAAAAATTGATAAGTTTTTTCTTAAGTCGAAAGAGTTGATTAATTTTAGAAACATATGTGCTTTATATTCGCATTCGTAAGTAATTATAACGTCAAAAATACGAAGAAATATACTATTAATGAGCCTTATTGTCGATCTGGAGCGTGTTGCAAAGTGATATGAGCGATACGGCATGCGGATAACCATTATGTTATGCGTTTTTGTTGGTATAGCATTTCACATGAGTATACTTATGTAGATATCGAGAAACTAATAAATTTTTGACAGTAAAATTATAATAAACTATTGTAAAAATCTTAAATTATTACGACTGTATTTTATCAAACAACAAATTTTGTTTCTTGCACTAAAAAATTTATAGCTACAATTAAAAATATTTATTTATTTATTTATTTGTAAAGAATCGCCCTCGTTTCTTTACAAAATATTCGAAATATATTTCGAATATTTGAATTCATTATAACAATATTTTCTAAAAATAACGATTAATATAATAGTTATATATTTAAAAAAAAAGTATTGTTATTGACAAGACATATTTTAGTTATAGTTACAATCAGTGATCTGGCAGGTTATCCCTTTCCCAATTCCTAAACAAGCATGTGACCCAGTTGTTAATTAGCTGGCAGATATCGAGCCGCGCTCTGATTACGAGTAACATTCTTCGATAATTTAGTAAATAGCTCGGTTAATGTTTACCTTATAACAGCAACGATAGTTGTATATATATATGAACGAAAAAAAAAATATTTAATAATCTTTTTTAAAATAGTAACAATAACAATGCTCAACGAATTTTGTGTGTATTTCTGTTACTTCTGGATGAGTATAGGGGGTATTCCATGCCAAATCGACCACTTTTGACCCCGACCCTTTTCGATTTGGCCGAAAGTTTTCCATCCTTTTCTACCCTATAAAAAACGGTTCTCAGAATTTTTTTGAATTTTTTTACCTAACTCCAAAAAAGTTATGAATTTTTCAAAAAAATGGCTTTTTTATTTTCAAATAGCCATAACTTTTTCAAAACTAAACATTTAGGTACCTTTTTTTTTCAAAATTTTTGTTTTTAGATGTACTTTCCGATAAAAAATATTAAAAAATTTTTGTAAGTCAATACATATGGAATTTTTCAGTTTTTTGACAAAAATCAATGCTTTTTCGAAGTTCGAAATTTTTTTTTTTAATTTTTTTTTT